AAAATGTGATGATAGTGGTGAGTGGAGCATAATGTAGAATAGAAAAAGTGTATATAATAATAAAAAGAAAAGTGAAATGGGTTGGCCGAGGAGGTGCAAGTCAGGTCTCTGATAATAAAAAGGAATGGGGGTGCCGTGTGAGGATTTGTGTTGTAATAAATAAACCATGGTGGGTGTGCTTTGAAGAATAGAAATAATAAAAGAAAAGAAAGTGGAGTGGGGTTGCTGGGTTGCCTCCGAGAGAGAGAGAGGATTTGGGCAATGATGGTGCTGGCCGGAGTAACAAGCAATTGGCTAGTTTTGCTGAAGAGGCCGATGATCAATTGTACGATAAGGTGTTACTCTGTCCTCGCTTGAATCCTCATTTGCATCAAGACGAGCCCTTGCACTTTCTATGCACCGAGCACGATGATGATGATGCCTCATCGATTGTGGCAGGCAGGAAATCACCGCAGAATGGGGTGGCAGCAAAAGGAGCGAACGGAGGAGGAAGGGGGCGAGGCAAAAAACAGGGCAACAAGAAGGAAGTGATCGATTTGCGGACTCTGCTATCTCAGTGTGCACAAGCTGTTGCGAACGCAGACATCAGGAATGCTAATGAACTCCTGAATCGGATCAGGCAACATGCTTCACCAACCGGCGATGGCACCGAAAGGTTGGCCTATTACTTCGCCAACGCGCTCGAGGCCCGCTTGGCTGGCACCGGGACATCATTGTATGCCGCTTTTAAGACCAAGAGGATATCAGTTGCTGATATCTTGAAAGGTTACCAAGTCTTTATGAAGGCATGCCCTTTCAACAAGATGTCCAATATGTTTGCCAACAAATCAATTGCGGCACTGGTTCATGCAAAACAGACGCTTCACATAATTGATTTCGGTGTCCTTTATGGGTTCCAATGGCCCTGCCTCATCCAGCATTTCTCCGTTAGGGAAGGCGGGCCTCCGAAGAAGCTCCGATTTACTGGAATTGACTTTCCACAACCGGGTTTTCGGCCAAAAGAAAGGGTCGAGGAAACAGGACGTCGGCTAGCGATTTACTGCAAGAGATTTAATGTCCCATTTGAGTACACTGCAATAGCCAAGAAATGGAGCACTATCGAACTTGAGGAGCTCAACATCGATAGAGACGAAGTACTTGTTGTGAATTGTTTGTACCGGCTAAGAAACGTACCCGATGAGACGGTTGTCGAGAGCAGTCCGCGTGATGCTGTTCTCAACTTGGTGAAGAGGATCAATCCGGATATGTTCATCCATGGAGTTATCAACGGGACATACAACGCACCCTTTTTTGTAACCCGATTTAGGGAGGCACTTTTCCACTTCTCCGCAGGATTTGATGTGTTTGAGACCACTTTACCACGCGAAGATCAGGGTAGGATGTTGTATGAGAAGGAGATCCTTGGAAGGGATGTTATGAACGTCATAGCGTGTGAAGGTACAGAGAGGGTTGAGAGGCCGGAGACATACAAGCAGTGGCAAGTTAGGAATACGCGAGCCGGGTTCAGGCAGCTACAGCTGAACAAGGAGCTCGTGACAGAGGTGAAGACTAAGGTGAAGTTGTATTACAACGAGAATTTCGTGGTGGATGAGGACGGTAAGTGGCTGCTGCAAGGATGGAAGGGTCGAATCATGTTTGCTCTGTCTTGTTGGAAACCTGTCAAGGAGCGGTAAAAAAAAAAAAATTAAAGTGCAATTCTGGTTAGTGTTTAGAGCCGTTGAATCATGGTGCTATGCTACTATCCACGAATTCAGTAATGTATAGCTCGTTGGTCTTGTAATGCCCTTGCACTTCCTGCTACCTGTTTCTTCTAGGAATGTACTCGATATCTAGTGTTTAATAGAGATTTGTTTAATGCCTTTTCTGTGCACCACCGCAGTCTCTGTTTTTTTGGTTTGTTTATGTTTATTTGTTTTAGTTTGTATTCAACAAGGAGGTTGGACCAAAACTCTTGAGTTGAGCGTACCCGCCTCATCTGAGCTCAGATGATAATTCTCCGAGGACATGCTCTAGTGACAGTAGCAACAGCTCTGTTTCGGTCAACGATTTCATCGATCAGTCCAGTTGGATTCGGGAGAAATTCAAACCCTCTTATTATGATGAGTACACATTCGAGTCCATCATGCAGTCAATCAGTTCTCCAAATGGCTCGGGAGACGGGTCAGTTGACTCTCTTCCATTTCAGATTTCATCAGAAGCAAAATTTGGAGAGTTAGTCCCAACTACAGATTATGTGAACTATAGATCGGAAAGTACTTGGAAGGTTTGGGAGGGTGCAGAACAGAACCAGGGGGACCATCCGCCCCACGGGTCGAGGGAAAAGAAAACGCACAATCGAGAAGACGCCGATTACACAGACGGTGCTGGCCGGAGTAACAAGCAATTGGCTAGCTTTGCTGAAGAGGCCGATGATCAATTGTACGATAAGGTGTTACTCTGTCCTCGCTTGAATCCTCATTTGCATCAAGACGAGCCCTTGCACTTTCTATGCACCGAGCACGATGATGATGATGCCTCATCGATTGTGGCAGGCAGGAAATCACCGCAGAATGGGGTGGCAGCAAAAGGAGCGAACGGAGGAGGAAGGGGGCGAGGCAAAAAACAGGGCAACAAGAAGGAAGTGATCGATTTGCGGACTCTGCTATCTCAGTGTGCACAAGCTGTTGCGAACGCAGACATCAGGAATGCTAATGAACTCCTGAATCGGATCAGGCAACATGCTTCACCAACCGGCGATGGCACCGAAAGGTTGGCCTATTACTTCGCCAACGCGCTCGAGGCCCGCTTGGCTGGCACCGGGACATCATTGTATGCCGCTTTTAAGACCAAGAGGATATCAGTTGCTGATATCTTGAAAGGTTACCAAGTCTTTATGAAGGCATGCCCTTTCAACAAGATGTCCAATATGTTTGCCAACAAATCAATTGCGGCACTGGTTCATGCAAAACAGACGCTTCACATAATTGATTTCGGTGTCCTTTATGGGTTCCAATGGCCCTGCCTCATCCAGCATTTCTCCGTTAGGGAAGGCGGGCCTCCGAAGAAGCTCCGATTTACTGGAATTGACTTTCCACAACCGGGTTTTCGGCCAAAAGAAAGGGTCGAGGAAACAGGACGTCGGCTAGCGATTTACTGCAAGAGATTTAATGTCCCATTTGAGTACACTGCAATAGCCAAGAAATGGAGCACTATCGAACTTGAGGAGCTCAACATCGATAGAGACGAAGTACTTGTTGTGAATTGTTTGTACCGGCTAAGAAACGTACCCGATGAGACGGTTGTCGAGAGCAGTCCGCGTGATGCTGTTCTCAACTTGGTGAAGAGGATCAATCCGGATATGTTCATCCATGGAGTTATCAACGGGACATACAACGCACCCTTTTTTGTAACCCGATTTAGGGAGGCACTTTTCCACTTCTCCGCAGGATTTGATGTGTTTGAGACCACTTTACCACGCGAAGATCAGGGTAGGATGTTGTATGAGAAGGAGATCCTTGGAAGGGATGTTATGAACGTCATAGCGTGTGAAGGTACAGAGAGGGTTGAGAGGCCGGAGACATACAAGCAGTGGCAAGTTAGGAATACGCGAGCCGGGTTCAGGCAGCTACAGCTGAACAAGGAGCTCGTGACTTCTCTTTGTTTTCTTCTTCAGATCCATCGCCCAAATCACACAATCAGATCGGATCTATATATATATATATATATAAAAATTCTTGGTAAATCCATACCAAATTTTTGTCCTAATCGTGTCTTGTTTTGAGGTGTTCTGAACCCATAAATCAAAATTCGATCTTTTTTTCTTGAAATTCTCGGATAGGATGTCCATGGAAGCACTCATCCAAAGATTTACTGGTTCATTTCTGGACCGAAATCATCATACCTACCCGGATCTTCCTTTCAATTTGGTTGATGGGGACGCAATTCATGCGTCCCCTTCCCCGCCGACATCGGTTGTCAGCTCGGAAGGCGATGCAGGCGAGGAAGGCGATTTCTCGGATGCAACGCTTAAGCTGATCAGCCAGATGCTCATGGAAGATGGGTTGGAGAACAAACCTTGTATGTACCAAGACTGCTTGGCTCTCCAAGCTACCGAGAAATCGTTCTATGACGTTCTCGGCAAACAGTACCCGCCTCATCTGAGCTCAGATGATAATTCTCCGAGGACATGCTCTAGTGACAGTAGCAACAGCTCTGTTTCGGTCAACGATTTCATCGATCAGTCCAGTTGGATTCGGGAGAAATTCAAACCCTCTTATTATGATGAGTACACATTCGAGTCCATCATGCAGTCAATCAGTTCTCCAAATGGCTCGGGAGACGGGTCAGTTGACTCTCTTCCATTTCAGATTTCATCAGAAGCAAAATTTGGAGAGTTAGTCCCAACTACAGATTATGTGAACTATAGATCGGAAAGTACTTGGAAGGTTTTGGAGGGTGCAGAACAGAACCAGGGGGACCATCCGCCCCACGGGTCGAGGGAAAAGAAAACGCACAATCGAGAAGACGCCGATTACACAGACGGTGCTGGCCGGAGTAACAAGCAATTGGCTAGTTTTGCTGAAGAGGCCGATGATCAATTGTACGATAAGGTGTTACTCTGTCCTCGCTTGAATCCTCATTTGCATCAAGACGAGCCCTTGCACTTTCTATGCACCGAGCACGATGATGATGATGCCTCATCGATTGTGGCAGGCAGGAAATCACCGCAGAATGGGGTGGCAGCAAAAGGAGCGAACGGAGGAGGAAGGGGGCGAGGCAAAAAACAGGGCAACAAGAAGGAAGTGATCGATTTGCGGACTCTGCTATCTCAGTGTGCACAAGCTGTTGCGAACGCAGACATCAGGAATGCTAATGAACTCCTGAATCGGATCAGGCAACATGCTTCACCAACCGGCGATGGCACCGAAAGGTTGGCCTATTACTTCGCCAACGCGCTCGAGGCCCGCTTGGCTGGCACCGGGACATCATTGTATGCCGCTTTTAAGACCAAGAGGATATCAGTTGCTGATATCTTGAAAGGTTACCAAGTCTTTATGAAGGCATGCCCTTTCAACAAGATGTCCAATATGTTTGCCAACAAATCAATTGCGGCACTGGTTCATGCAAAACAGACGCTTCACATAATTGATTTCGGTGTCCTTTATGGGTTCCAATGGCCCTGCCTCATCCAGCATTTCTCCGTTAGGGAAGGCGGGCCTCCAAAGAAGCTCCGATTTACTGGAATTGACTTTCCACAACCGGGTTTGCGGCCAAAAGAAAGGGTCGAGGAAACAGGACGTCGGCTAGCGATTTACCGATGAGACGGTTGTCGAGAGCAGTCCGCGTGATGCTGTTCTCAACTTGGTGAAGAGGATCAATCCGGATATGTTCATCCATGGAGTTATCAACGGGGCATACAACGCACCCTTTTTTTGTAACCCGATTCAGGGAGGCACTTTTCCACTTCTCCGCAGGATTTGATGTGTTTGAGACCACTTTACCACGCGAAGATCAGGGTAGGATGTTGTATGAGAAGGAGATCCTTGGAAGGGATATTATGAACGTCATAGCGTGTGAAGGTACAGAGAGGGTTGAGAGGCCGGAGACTATGGTGAAGTTGTATTACAACGAGAATTTCGTGGTGGATGAGGACGGTAAGTGGCTGCGGCAATGATGGTAAGGTATGTGTAGAAAATAAGCGGAATAGATTGAGGTCCGGCGGACGGCCAAGGTGAGGTTGCCGCCCGCCGGTGAAGCGAAAATATTAGGTTCTAAACCTGCTCTGATACCATGTAAAATAAATTGATGTATATTATTAATTGATGTATTGATTATTGTGTATATTACAAATGGTGAGTGGCTCATTATATAGGAGAGGGTGAGTGTAGTAGGTGAGGAGTAGGTGGTGGTAGGTGATGGTAAATTGGTGGTAGGTGATGGTAAATTTTAACATAATTGGTGAAGTGTAAAAGTGTATGATGGACCGAAGGTCGTTCTGTATTTCTGATAAGGTGGACTCAAGGTCGTTCTGCATTTTTGATAATGTGTTTGACCAAATGGTCATTATATTGATTTGATGCAACTGTAATCATTTGGACCCAAGGTCATTCTGATAAGCTATGTTTTGTTCTATTCAGTACATCTGTCATATCTGCTACATTATGGACCAGAGGTCGTTCTACCATGTATTGGACCAGAGGCCGTTCAATCATATAGGCCCCGTTTGGTATAGCTGTGGGAAAGTGATTTTAACTTATAACTTAACAGCTTATAATTTGTAACTGTGAACATAAGCTGATTTTTTACTTATAAATTAAGCTTCTCCTCCCCCACTCAAAGAATAAGTTGATTTTTGACTTCCAAAAAGCTATAAGCTGTATTATTAAGCTGAACCAAACACATCAAAATAATTTAAATTAAGCTAAAAGCTGAAATAAGTTGGAAATAAGCCCTACCAATTTACCAAACAGGGCCATAATGGACCTGGGATCATTCTGCTATGTAATGAATTTGATATAAAAATGATAATGTTTAAGTATTGAAACTCGTTCATTAAACCCTTTACTTTGATGTTATTCATTGGGCTTCTAGTTCACCCCTTCCCTTATATATGTAGGCAAACAGTAGGATGTTTGGCCACTTTTAGATATAAAAGGATGAATTCTTATTGATTACAAGAGAGGATAAGACATTCAGTCAAAACTATCACTCATCATTATTCAGGGTAATAAAATAGCAAGATTTGTGCTAGCCTACATGTAGGGCTGCAAACGAGCCGGGCCGAGCCGAGATTTAATATGTTTGGGCTTATTTATTAAAATTTTAATGAGCTCGAGCTCAAATCCGAACCCGAGCTCAATAAAAATTTAACGAACCAAGCTCGAGCCATGTTGGGTTAGGCTTGACTCAAGCTTGAGCCTTAACAAGCCAGAGAAATTATAAATCCATACTCGCGTATGAAATCAAAGTTACAATTAAAACTTTAATTGTACAAAACATTAATAAATATACTTTAAAAAAAAAAGAAGGCAATATAAATAATAAAATCTACTCCTGCTATTATATAAAAGTATTATCTATAGTTAGCTATTATTTACATATAAATAAATTTAGTTGTTATTTACATTTATATTACTTAAATATATAAATAACATATTATCATATTTTTTATACATGTTTTTACATTATTTAATACATAAATAATATATTTATTCTATTATTTAAATAAATGTTAAACGAGCCAAGCCAATGTGCCAATCTTTAGTATGTTTGGAGTTATTTATTAAGATTTTAACGAGCTCAAACTCGAGCTTGAAAGCAATAAAAATGCAATGAACCGAGTTCGAACGAGCCTTTACGAAGCCGAGCTCAAGCTCAAGCTTGTTCACGAACGGCTTTATTCATTTGCAACCCTACCTACATGTGTACCTTGATCTCTTTTTTCTCATTTTTTTTAATTAAATCTGTGTGTTTTATGATCTTATTAGTTGTAACTTAACAGTTCAACGGTGTTAGCACAATGAGATTCATTGAACCAAATCACAACTTGATTCAAGCCAGCTTCAGTTTCTAACAACACAAAAAATAATAATAATAATAAAATGAAATCCATGCTAATAGAATTTCAAAATACTTCCTTATTTCATAATGCAAACTGGCTGAAAACCTATAATTTCTGCTGAAAGCCACTTCACTGAACATGAAAAGATTAAAGACCACAATTAAGTTACCAACTACCATCTTGATGTCACTCAAAGTTCAATCGTGAATTACCACTATATATTGTGGATCTATTTAGTAGGTCAAGTCTACAAAAACAATTTGAATATTTTACTTCTATAAAAAACAGAAATTAAGCCTTTTAGGGTATTAAATGTAAGAGTGGTCTCAACTACTTTCCAATTTTTAAATTACAAATGAAAAAACAAACAAAAAAGAAAAGAAAAGAAAAAAATTGACAAAAATTTTTACTATGGAGGGAAGAAGTGCTTGAAAGTTTACTCCTAGCATATTAAACAATTGCAAGACAAACTTTAAAATTAAACACGTTAAGAATTGCAAATCTAGCAATCAAGTCCAATAGTGACATAAGGACAAACGCTTCCGATTACTGCCTGCAACTAGTGGAAATTCTTCGCCATAAACTACTTATTTATCACTTTCAAAGGACGAAGCTTCCAATCCATTCCAACAAAATAAACAAGCAAACTACTAAAATCAAAACCAAATAACATAATAAATCTTACATGACAAATCAACCGCTGCAACATAAACTGGACGGGCCTGCATTGCTTCTTCTTCATATCCTTCCACTACGAAACAAACAAGATATGACTAATCTCAGATTGATCACATGCAAAAACACACATATAAAGCTAAGTCACAACTAAAACCCTAATTCTCTGTTTGTTACTACAAAAATGAGGTGGAGACCTAAATATTCTGAATCTTCAAGTTTTCACAATTAGAAAATCAATTTAACAACCTCTGATCTCTGTAATAGTAATTCAATAAAATTCATATACCGATTGTCATTTTTCATACTATGCCAAAGTTTCCCTTTCTTTTGCACATGAAAATAAAGGAGTTCAAATTTCAACTCGATTTTCAATTCCCAAACAACCAATTCAACGAATATATACACATACAAAAAATACGTACAAACATCCAAATGCATATGATTCAAAAATCTTTGTGATTACTCAGCACATTCAACAAAATATTCTGAATTTTAAGTTTTCACGATTCGAAAGCCAATTAAACAACCTCATCTCATCTCTAGAATACTTTCAACAATTCGCATACTCATTCTCATTTTCATTCTATATCGAAGTTTCAAAGGAGATCGAATTTTGACTCGATTTTCATTTCTCAAATATCTTCAGCAACCAATTCAACAATTATATACATAAACACATCGAAATGCATAGAATGGGAAAAAAACAAAAAAATAAATAAAAACGTATTAGTGATTACTAGGCAATTCGAGATCTATGAAGGAAGAGATGTTCTCGGGGCAGGAGTCGGGGAGAGAGTAGCGAGAGATGGTCTGGGAAGAGAGGCCATTGAGAGTGCCGCAGAGAGAGCAAGTCCAAGCCCACTGTTCTTGCTCGCAGTATGTGTTGTAGTAGGCCCAGCAGTTCTCGCACCGCGGCAGAAGATGGCCGTCCGATCCGTAAAGGGGAGGGTTTCCGCTCTCGTCCTTGGCGGCGAACGGCGTTATTGTCACCCCCCACGGCAGCCCCGACGACTCCAGTGCGTCTGGGTCCATCGGAAACCTAGCCACTGTTGCCCTCACCGCCATTGATGACACAGACAGAGACAGAGACAGAGAGTAATTCTCAGTTGAGGAAATGCAGAGAGCGAGAGAGAATACGGAACTGCGAAAGAATGGAGATTTTGGAGGTTTATTTGTAATTTTGTGGATTTGTGAGGGATGAAAAGTGAATTTGCGAAGGTGGGGGCGTATGTTAGTGGAGTCAATTCTGAGGCGTATCTTAGCTGGTACAGGAGCTCCACATAAGGTGGGCCAATAGGCTTGTGCCAGCTCACATTGCTCAATTCAAGATTTTGGTTTGTATTTTAAAATGAAAATTGTTTCAGACCACTAAAACAATGAGCTCTAATAGCTCTAAAAATACTGTACCCCTAATTGATTTGATCCTTTGTTCTTTGTTTTTTTTTTTTTTTTTTTTTTTTTCTGGACTGTCAGCTCATTAGAGCTAGCTTAGTGGTTCATTTTTAGTGGGATCTATCACCACTGTTTTAAAATAATGGAAGATAATTTTTTAAAAATATGTTTGGTTATAAAAAATTTCAAAAAAAAATTAAAATTATTTTTTTTCTCTATTACATATCAATCAATCATTTTTTCTCTCTTTTCCTTCTCAATTACTTTTTTTCTCATACACATCTACTCAACTACAACAAAATATCAAATCGTTCCTGTAACAATTCAAATTTTTAATTGTTCTCTAATATTTATACTAATATTATTTAATTTCAGTTCGAAAAACATATAATTTATTATATATTATTATACGTAATTTTGTAAAACAATATAATTAGTAAAAATTTAAAGATCCAAATATAAATAATAATAATAATAATAAGTGTGATATTAAAATAAATAATTAATTTTTTGTTAATATATAGTAAAGTATAATTTAATTAAAAATTAATTTATTTATATAATTATATTAAAATATTTTAAAATATTTTATCAAAGTGTAATTATCTTAAATATTTATATAAGATAAATATAAATCTCATCTTATAATAAACAAATCCGGTTTATATAAGGTAAATATAACCAGTAGTGATTGGGAGTTCTAGTAGAGCTGCTCTAATAGCAGCTCTACTGAGCTGGCAACCAATTAAAAAAAAAACAAAAACAAAAAAAGACAAAACAATAGCCAGAAGATGACAATTTAATACTAAGTTTAGAGGTGCTATTTTAGAGCTCTAAAGCAATTTTCAAATATAAATCCCATCTCATAATAAGAAAATTCGGTGAAGTTAAGAAGCAGATCCGCTATTGATTCGGCTAGACACGTGTTGGCCAGAGAGTTTTCTCCCTAGAAATTGGGAGGGTTGATCAACCTGTGAAAGAAGGAAAAAAAAAGAGGAAAAGAGGAAAGAAAGAAGGAGAGAAAGAAAAGAGAGAAATGAAGGAAAAAATCGTAGAAGTTGAAAGGATTTTTTTGTAGTGGAAAGAAAGAGTAAGGTATTAAAGTTAAGGTAAGTTATATTATATTTGGAGTCATCTTAAAGTATTTTACGTATATTTTGACTTACCAAAATCTATTTTATATAAGTATGTTTTATAAATTATTATAAACTATATTATTATTTCAGTTACGTGGATTATTTTCTGAACCATATTTGTTAAAAGTGAACTCATGGATATATTTGTTTTTACTTTAAAGAATATTTAGCTATGACCTTATATACAATCATGTTTTGTAAGTATCACTACAGGAGTCTCACGCCTTGGGAGACTTAAATAACCATTGACTTCCGTTTGATCACTTTGTGGTGCTCTGTTTGTCATGGATCCATTGACCTCTGTTCTGTGCGAAGCAAAGTGCTGTGCGGAGCTAAGTGCTACACTATTGTGAGAGTCACTTCTAGAATCCGTACGAGCCACCTTTTGAGTCCGTACCTCTGTTCTGTGCGGAGCAAAGTACTATGCGGAGCTAAGTGCTACACTATTGTGGGAGCCACCTCTAGAATCCGTACCTCTGTTCTAACTGTCACTTTTATGATCTCTGTTCTGTACTGTGGTTATGGTTATATATTTACATAATTTTTGTATTTCAGTTTCTGCCACTTAAATGATTTGTTTACCAATGATCTATTTACCAAACTGAGTTATGTAAATGTTTTGGCCTAATTAACTATTCATGGTTATTTTGTGTCTCTTATACTCTTGGTATAATATTTCCCACTCTGCCAAGTGTTTATAATTGTTTACCAATTTTCAAGAAACAATGCAATTCAAAAATAGTTTTTAGAAAGTCTTAGATGCGGGGCTGCGGAATAGACACACGCACAGTATTTTTATGATATTTCTCTATGTAAATATCGACATTTTTTGTCAATAAATTTTGTAATAAAAATAGAAGCTCCGATGATTATTTTGGTACCCTCATTTAAATATTACTTCCGCTCGCATTTATTTATTTGTTTAAGAATTGGCCGTAGGTAACTTCAGTTACTGGCCATCACGACACTTAACCCTTGGGTACGGAGAGCGGGTCGCGACAGTTCCAAACTCTCAAACTCCAAAACTATTTTTAAAATATATAATCAAAAATATTTCTAAACTCTCACCCTAATTTTTTTTTTTTGAAAATTTATCTCAAAACACAAACCAAACACCCAAGATGTTCGAGATTGACCAGTCCAGGCTGACGATTGTATTCGGGCGGCACAACCCTGTTCCGGGGGAAGTTATTGGTGAGAATATCGTCACGTATGCATTGTGATTAATAAAAGAGATAATATTTATAATTTTGTATTGAATAATTATAAAATATAAAAAAAAATATAATAGTTTGTGATTGATAAGAAGTACCGTCACGTGACACATCAAGACGAATCAATAATTTTTTTTTTATCTTAAATTCAAACTAGTGTTGCGGACCCAGAATTGCAAACGAGTTTAATATTATTATTATTTTTTAAAAAAATTGTCATTTTTTTTTATCAATAAGAAAAATATTGTCATTTAATCATTGGTTTTAATACTTGAAACGTTAATAGATAATTGATTATTATACCGTAATAAACACCCAAACACTTAAAAACCTACATTATATAATTGTAATACATTGTAAAGTCTTTAAATTCTAAATTTTCAATTCTATTTTCTTAAATTTTTTGAATTTATAAAATATTGAAAATAAAAATAACACATGTCATGTAATCATTGCCTCTTTTACGTTCAATTTATTCTTAAATGATATTAATCTATACTATTTATATAATCAAATGTAATTTTATCAAAACCTCCAAATATTTATTCTTAAATTCTCATAATTTTAAAATTCTATCTTTCTTAGGTAGCAACCTTCTTTAATTGTCTTTCATGTATTCAACCATGTTTGATTGTCTTTCATATTTTCTATTTTCCTCTCACTACAAAAAAATTGACTTTTTGCGACGGTAAAATATCGTCGCTAATACTCCTAATGCCGTCGCTAATACTTTTTGCGACGGCAAAATGACTTTTTGCGACGGTAACCGTCAGTCGTAATTTAACGTTTGAATTTCTTGACTTTTTTGCGACGGCCCTATTTTACCGTCGCTAAAAATGTTATTTGAGAGGCAAAAAATACCGTCGCTAATAGTCTTTTTTAAAAAAAACACTATTTTTTGCGACGGTGTGGTGCTCGCAAAAGTATAAAAAATTAAAATTTTCTATTTTTTGCGACTGTAAATGCCGTCGCAAAAAAATATTAAAAATAATAAAATTTTATTTTAAATAATAAAATTTCTATTTTTTATGACAGTATTGTCGTCGCAAAAAGTAAAACCTATAACAAAATTAATAAAAATATTAAATTTTTCTATTTTTTCCACGTGGTGCCTCTCTCACTCTCTAAGAGCTGATTATTTACATTCCATTCACAAAAACATCATAACATAAAATAAATAAAATTGATCAAACCATCAAATTCAATATTTTACAAAGAATAATTAAACTGTACATGTTCATAAAAGCATATTTAAATTATAAATTCACCCAAATCCATGATCGCCCATTGATTTGCATACTTGCCCGCAAAGTCAATATAATAACATCCAACTCCTTAAGCCCAAATGAATACTGACTGAAACAGGTACACCAGCTGCTTTATTTTTGGCACCAACATTGATATAAAAAATAAATAATAAGTAAAATTTCATTTCCTTAGCAAATTCCAAACTAAAATAGCATGATAAATTATATAGAATTTTTTAGAAAAATTGCTAACACAATCATCACATTTCTATTCACAAGACAGACAAGCAATAGAACTATCCCTTGCGAGTTTCTTTCTCAGCTT